TATATATATATATATATATATATATATATATATATATATATATATATATATATATATATATATATATATATATATATACACATGTATACACATATATATACACATATATATACACATATATATATTTAAAATAATACATATATACACATGTTCATTAATATATTTAGGATAAATACAAAATATATACCCCTTTTATTTTTCTTATTAATATTTAATATAAAAAATACATTTTGGACAAATACCTCATTTTATTTTATTTTTTTATATATAGATATCATAATAAATAAATGGTATGTTTTATTTAATAGAATTAGGGTTTTACCCTAAATATGAAAATATTCCAAAAAATAATTCTTTTCTCATTTTTTTATTTACTTGACATAAATAATATTCTTTTTTTAATATACACATGAAAATTCTTTTTTTACATTTTTGCATATTTATTTCAATTTCCATTTATTTATGCAATTGTTCATATTGTAAATACTCAAAGCAAATGATGTAATAGCTTAGATTCAATTTCTTGTCAAAGTATCTCCCCATTTGAACATTGTACCCCCCTCCCTATATTATTGTGATGTAATAGCGTAGGAATTTAAATTTTGCACTTTATCGCTTTCTAAACATACTATGCTAGAATTAGGGTTTGTATGCGAATAAAACGAACAAAAATAGTTGGACCTAATCTCAAGATAAATAAGCATGAAAATGGACAACACATTTCACACTTGCACCCCTAGGGTATTCCACTTTGTTGCCTTCAAACAATTGGGCCATATTGCATGTTGAACTTCTTTGGGTAAAACAAACAATCAAATGATCATAGTCCCTCAAAATGTTGCCTAAATAAATGATCAAGTCCCGTTTAAAGAAAAATTGCCCAAAGACCTTTAACACTATTGCAACTATGGTCTAAACGATGACCCGCGCCCGTCCCTTTAATCTCCTAAAACAAGATTGTCCACCAAATGCAATGGTGGAACAAAATTGTCAAAAGGTTTAAAACATAACAAAAATCTTTTGAGAAAACTTTAGGGTAGATGAACTCTTAAGTACTTGTCAACTTTCCAAGAAAACACTTGCCTTATTTCAAAACCCATTTCACAAACACTTTCAAAACAAACTTTCAGAAAAACCTTGAAACATCTTTTCAAAAAGACAAACACCTTTTGTAAAACATTCGAGTAAAGAATTGTTACAAGGGTAGCCTATACAAGGCATCTTTTTTCAAAACCTTTTCAAAACCACACACAAAGCACCATTTCAAACAATTGAAAACCAAGGCAAGTTGATCTAAGCAAGTACCTAAGAGCCCATGGATAACCATGGATAGAAGGGGTGCTAATACCTTCCCCTTCTATAATCTACTCCCCGAACCCAAGAAAAATCTCAAAGGTTTTTGCTGTGCTTTTTAAACCTTTCCTTAGGATAAAATAAAAAGTCGGTGGCGACTCTTGCTCAACCGAAACATTTGCGAAAACGAACGCAAAACCCTAGTCAGTTCTCCCACCGTATCACACATACCCCTCATGCAGTACCTAAAGGAATTGAAAAATATTTTATTTTTATCATATATTTGGTGAAGAGATGAATAATAATAAATGATATAAGTTAATGACTTACTTTGTTGCGTATGGGAAAACGAATGCGTTGTTGTTGACGGGGTTTAGGGACTCCATTCTCCACCAACCCCAGGCTTGAAGTAAAAAAGCGCAGCCATAAAATGTACATTTTTCCTTGATTGCATTTTTACACAAGGAACTGTATAGATGGGCTAAAACATCAAAACCCCAACTATATTTTCTAATTTTTTCGAAGTCTCTAAGTAAATTTAAATACATAAAATTTACATTATTTTCTATACTTTCGAGAAATAAAAAGGTTCCAAATAGTATCATCATATAATTTCTAGCTTTTATTACCTTAGCTAGCTCAGAGGAATTTTCATTCAATTCTAGAGTCGCATAATGATTTTTAAGCTCAGTAAGCATTATATCCTGACCTCTCGCACCACCACCTTCAACCATATCACTGCCCAACAATTCTTCACACAAAGAATTGGGTTGTTGAACCGACCCGTTAACCGCCTTACCGTTGATAGGGAGACCCAATAACGTTTACACGTCCTCTAGTGTGACGGTACATTCACCTATTGGTAGATGAAATGTATGGGTCTTTGGTCTCCATATTTCCAACATTGAAAGTATGGAATTTGAAGCAATCTTGCAGTTGGAGATCTTTATAACGTTTCTGAAACCTGCGTATTCGAGATTGGGTACGATCAACGGGTCGGGAGCAAGGTAGTTGTGTGACCGGATTCTGAATCTTTTAGTATCCTAAGTTAAGAATGTAAAAAGTGTAAGAGTCCATAAGATGAATAAAGCATTAATAGAAGTATGAAAAATGTATAAGTATACAAGAAACTTACAAATGCTGCAATATTGTCCATTGTGCCTCTGTAAGAATCGCCCATTGTGAGAAGAGTCGTTGTTGAAATTGTCTCAGATTATGAAAGAGTTTGAAATTGTCTGAGATTATGAAAGAGTTTGTATCTGAGAGTGAGACGATTGTGGATGCAATAGAAGTATGTAAGGCTCTATATTTATAGGCAAAATTTTATCACAGAAAGTGAGGTGGTTGGTGGCTGCATGCATGCATGATAAGTGTCACTCTTGCAGTGTAGGTGTAGGCTAGGTGGCAGCCTTGGGGAAGGCATCTCTGCATGCATGTAATACGATTGGACGTGTAGGGAGGCGCTATTAGACTTGGTGAATGAGTACAAAAATGAAAGGTGTCACCATCGCTGTTGGCGAATTAGAGGTGGCATAGGTTCCTGTGTAGGTGCAGGCTAGGTGGCAGCCTTGAGGAAGGCATCTCTGCATGCATGTAATATGATTGGGCATGTAGGGAGGCGCCATTGAGCTTGGAGAATGAGTATAAAAATGAAAGGTATCGCCATCCCTGTTGGCAAATTAGAGGTGGCATGGGTTGCAGTGTAGGTGCAGGCTAAGTGGCAGCCTTGGGGAAGGAATCTCTGCATGCATGTAATACGATTGGACATGTAGGAAGGAGCCATTTGACTTGGCGAATAAGTACAAAAATGAAAGGTTTCGCCATCCCTGTTGGCGAATAAAAGGTGGCATGGGTTGCAGTGTAGGTGCAGGCTAGGTGACAACCTTGGGGAAGGCATCTCTGCATGCATGTAATACGATTGGACATGTAGGGAGGCGATATTAGACTTGGTAAATGAGTACAAAAATATAATGTGTCGCCATCCCTGTTGGAAAATTAGAGGTGGCATGGGTTGCAGTGTAGGTGCATGCTAGGTGGCAGCCTTGGGGAAGGCATCTCTACATGCATGTAATACGATTGGACGTGTATGGAGGTAAATTAGAGGTTGCTTACTGTTGTTTTATTCAAATTCAGTACAACCTATTTAATCCTACATTTATCAAAACATTTTTACACTTAATCACTCAAACAGTAGAACATTCAAAAATTCAAACAATTAACTCAAAGACTCAAACAATCAAACACTTAAACCTTCAAACCTTCAAACAGTCATACACAATGGCCTCTGCACCCTAATATGTGATAAGTGCACATTTCAACGGTGAGACATACATTTGTCTCACCTCTGGGTTTTTGTTTAGAGACACTGAGAACATCCGATTTTGTTTAAACGGGAAAGCCAATTTCTTGTATTTCAAAAAACGATTGGAGGCCAAACTTGGACGAGGTCCCGTGACACAAATCTTTTATCAGAATTCGGTTTTTTTTTTTTGGTAACAACCAAATAATATTTTATAAGGTTGAGGTTCAAGATGACGAGGACCTTCAGAATATATTTTCCAGTCATGAGTATTCTGGGTACAACTATATTGAGTTGAACATTATGCTATGAGAGCCTCAGGTGTCACAAGTGGTTGATCCTCTGAAGACTGAACAAGCAGAAGTAGATTTCGTTGACGAAGAAGAAGATGACGAGTTAGAGTTTGACGACATGGTCAACGATGATTTCGAAGACGATGAGATACTTGGTATACCTTCAAACGAGATCTACACACCACCTCCGCACATGATAAACTTCAACATGGACGGAGATGAACTGTCATCTGATTTATTTTTCAATCCGTATATGCAGTCGGATGAAAACTTAAAAGAGAAAGACAAATTTCGTAATAGAGAAAATTGTATCTGAGCCATAAAAAAATTCCACATGCTTAACTCGGTCGATTTTAAGACCGTGTAAATCCAGAAAGGTACAAGATCAAGTGTATCAACCTAAATTGTATCTTCAAACTCACTGCATCATACAGATTAAGAGGTGATTGTTGGATCATAGGTTCTATGTCCACCCACACGTGTGTCAGTTCTACTCAATCATAGGATCATCGGAAACTAAGTTATGATCTCATATGTCAAGAAATCCTACCCCTCGTCAGCAACGATCCATCATTAAAGGTGAAAACCATAATCTCTCACATAACTACGATATTTACGAAAAAAAAATTTAATACCTAATTATTACAAAAAAAATTCTAATCTAAGATTCTTATTCTTCTCTATTTAAGAAAGAAATCTCCTGTAGATTTTGAATACATCAAAGAATTATTCTCCTCGTTCTTTTATACTAAAAACAAAGATGAAATAAACCGGAAAAAAAAGCAAATACCTAAAGTTATAAATGCAAGGTTTTGAATAGTCAAGAGGACTGCAACTTAAGTCAAGCAAGCTGATCCAAGACCTATAAAACTTTAGCAACAATCAAAGGACCCACACGTAAAGTCTCTCTAATTGCTCTCAAGAATGAAGAAGTAAAAAGATGGAACTGAAGCTCAAGTCAGAATTCCAAATATATTTATTCCACTTATCTTTGAGAGGTCCATACAACACAATACAAGTCAGTGCTTAATTATATCTCAATAGCTAAGCATGTAATCATCATCGCTAATTAATTTCAACTCTAATACAACTAAGAAAATAAACTCAGATTGATATTAAAGCCATAAAGCACCAGCATGTTTGAGAAGAGGAACAAGAGAACCATTGATATGAAAAGCCAAAACTGTATCCATTGAACCAACTAGTTTCCCACCAATGAAAACAACAGGCAGTGATGTTGAATTTCCAAGTAACCTCATGAATGGTTTTGTATCTTGATCAAGTTCATGAACCATTGCATTCACTCCCATTCCACTAAACAAACTCTTCATTGCATGACACATACAACTAGTACTACTAATGCTGAATATCACAACAGCACTTTGTGTAGCTAATCTCATGATTCTCTCCATTTGATCTTCTTCCGTTGTTCTAGTTCTTACTCTTGTCATGTAGTAGCTCCATGATGGTTGTTCTACTTGGTAATGCATGAGTTTCTCTTGATTGAACATGGTGTGTGTTGTGATAGCGGAATTGAACAAAACAAAGTAAGAAAATTCAGTATTTTGCTGAGTTTGTGTGTTTACAATGATGAAAATAAAGAAAGGGAAAATGTGGTTTTATAAGGGAATGAAGGGTGTGGAAGAATGTTGTGGACCTTAGGGTAGTTGCTTTGTCTGTTATTGTTGGAGGAGCGTGTTCTGATTTTGTATAGATGTTGTTTGTGTATTGTCTCTATATACTCTCTTTCTGGTTAATTTGCAGCTACAATGGTTACTCGAGGAAAAAATGCATGCAGAATATGTTTCTTTTCAACCAGATTAGAAAGGACAAAAAAAGAAAAAAAGGGAAAATAGTTATATATTAGTTCATGTAAGCCTTGTAAGATGGCTGTTTGTCTATGATAGGGAGGCAAAATTCTGACATGCGACACTTGTCTGATATTACACCTTTGTTTAATCACTATCATCATCATTTTCATTCGTAAAAGTACAATTAGTACAATAATAGTTACTACAATTATATTTGAAGTGATTAACTCTAAAGACATTAGTAATAACGAAAAGTGTGAATACTGAATAGTAATACTCCGATTGAAGAATATAATCTTAAAACATGCTGCTTTCCTACGGCTATGGCTTATGAAACAGGAAAGCAGCGTGCATGGCGTTTGCAGAGTTTGTTTCTGTGTTGAGGAAAGTGTTCATCAACAAACATATTTATGGCACATAAAAAAATTTAGAAGAATGGAATGTCAAGTCTCAATCTCAAGTTTCACTTGTTTTACATTCTTATTTATTTTTGGTTAAAATCTCAACCAAAAGTGGCACAATTTTGTATATGTACACCACAGCAGAGAGAAGTATGAATAGAGAGGATTGGATGTCATGTTATAGAGTACTCTCTCAATTTTAAAATGATTATTGTTTTAATGAATACATTTTATTTTAAAATAATTATAATTTTCACTTTTCAATATAGTAATGATTATTATTTTTTCAATTGTGTTATTTGTTTTTTACTCTTTATATTATTTTCAATATATTAATTTACTTTTTATTTACTATATTATTTTCAATATATTAATATAATTAAATTTGTAAAAGGATAATGTTTTACGACAACATCACTATATTATTTAATTTGTGTGTAAAAATTTTAAACGACACTCATAAATATAATAGAATGTTGACATATAGCATTGACAAAATGGCAATTGCTCTTTGAACTTTAAAGGGCAGGCAAGGCGTGACCTCAACTCTTGAATCGCATGCCTAGATTTTTTTCTCAGAATGTCACAGTTTTGAAACATATTTTCTGTGATGCCACATACTGAAAATTATTTTCCAGAGTGTCACACCCAGGAGGGTTCACGCCATTTCAAATGGCGCAAACGTGAGACCCACAGACACTGCAAGGGCTCTCGCCATTTGAAATGGCGTGAAAGGGCTGAATATTTTTTTTCTTCGTTTTCTTGTATTTTCTTTAGTTATATTAATTATTTTTATTATTTAATTTTATTATTAATTATAAATAATTTAATAAACTATTTAATTATAAAATTAACTAATAAAATATTAATTTAAAAACTTAAATAACTATAAACTTAAAATAACTATTTAACAATTACAATTAAATAATAAATTTTTTTATTAAGTAATAAAATTTCATAATTACAATCAAAATACTAAATAAAAAAATACAGTTAAAAGTAGTTATAAATAACAATACATGGATAAAATTAGTTAGAAGGGTCTGCATTATTGAGGCGATGCCGTTATTTTTTTCGCATGTGTGGTTGTTGACAGATTATGCATCGTCTTTTTATTTTCTCAACAGTGTCCATTTCAGTTCTAATGCGAGTACTCACTACAAAAAAAAACTCATTTGCGACGTGAATTTCACGTCACAACATGAGGAAACACGTCACTGACCAATACTTGCGACGTGTTCGTTCACGTGGCTAGAGAGGAGGTGGCAAAAAATTTGCGACGTGATTTTCATGTCACAAAGTTGTGACGTGAAAATCACGTCGCAACATAGTTTTATACAAAAACCATCCCTGCAAAAGAGCAGGTGTAGCAGATATATAATTAATTTACTTGCGACGTGTTTTTCACGTCACAAATTAGTGACGTGAAAAACATGTCACTAAATAGTTTCATTTATTTGTTTCTTATAACGCCTGTCATCCATTTTTTTTATATAGAAAGTAAGTTGTGACGTGAAAATCACGTCACTAATATTTTTTTAATTTAATAACTGAATTTGTTTTTCTTTTATATATTTAATTTAATAAATTCAATATAATAAATTAAAATAATAAATTCAATATATAATAAGTTTAATATATTAAATTTAATATAATAAAATTAATAAACTAAAATTATAAATTTCAGAATTAATTAGTATGGTATACAAATTCAAATTTGAAAGTAAAATAAAAAAAATTAAAATTTACGGGTCATAATTATCAATGTCAAAATTATCTTCGCTTTCGTCATCCTCCGGCTCTTGACTGCGAAAGTTTGAATTTCCACCAAACCCTTGCATAAATTATCTCATTTGTTGCTCCATATCAGTTTGCCTCTTCGCATGGTCTCCATTTGTCGTTGTTGCTCTTGCCTCGTTGCCTCCATTTGGGTCTCCATTTGGGCTTTCATTGCCGCCTCCCGTTGCGCTGACTCGCGTCTCGCCTCATTTAACGCCAATTGTCTTACGGTTTCAAGTTGTTCTGGTGTCAAATTTGGTTGACGTGACCCCCCTTCCCCATCTCTAACTCTTTGAAATAGAGTTATAAATTCTTTATTAATTATTTTTTTATTTATTAATTACATATTTTTTTATATATTCTGTTTTAAAAAATATATATTTATTAACTTATTTTTTTATATTCTTTATTATATTATATTCTAATAAAAAAATAGTATATTTTTATTTTAAATAAATATATTCAATTTTTTGTCCTTATTATACTATACATATACAGAATAATATATCAAATTAAAAAAAAATCAAATAACAACTAACAATCTAATATATATATATATATATATATATATATATATATATATATATATATATATATATATATATATATATATATATATATATATATATATATATATATAAAATAAATTTAAAATATAAATAAATAACATAAATATCAATTCTTGAAACTCTTTCAACTTCTTGTACAACCCTTGAATTTTCCTTTTAATCTCTTCAATTTCTTGACAACAAAAAATTCAGTCAATCATAAAATATAATTAACCTAAAACGAAAATATTAAAAATAAAATGAATAAATATTATACCTTTATTACAAAATAAATTTGGAATTGGTGATGGAATTGAGATTTGATAATGTAACAATGGAAGAATAGAGAAGAGGGAAAGAAGAACAGAAGAGAGAAAGAAGAAGAAGAGAGAAAGAAGAAGAAAGTGGAGGAAAAAAGAAGAAACACAATGGTTTCTGGAAAGAGATCGTTCAAGTCTCTAATAGCCAATCAGCAACGTGAATATCACGTCGCAACCCCAACGTTACATTTTTAAAATAAACCAATCAGCGACGTGAATATCACGTCGCAACCTTGCCACGTGATATTCATGTCGCAACTTCTCCAGCAATTATTTTTTAAATCTTAATCTGCACATTTCAGAATGGTTCAGAACCACATCTTGTCAAAGTTTCCTCTAAATAAGTTGCGACGTGATTAACACGTCACAATATTTTTTTTTGAAATATTTAAACTCCCCTCTTCAAAACGCCTGCAGCTTTAACATTATTTTATTCTATTTTTTATGTTGTGACGTGTTTTCCACGTCGCAACTTTTATATAAATAAAAAAAACCAAACTGACACAGACTATACATTACTTTTATTATTTAATTTGTAAAATATTGTACTGACATGATTATCACGTTGCAACTGCTAAAATTTAGTGACATGATAATCACTTCACTAAATTACTTTGCTGGGGAGGATATTTCTTGTAGTGACTGTTCGGGCGACCTTTTTTGTTTCGTCGCATTCTTTCATCATGCAAAAAGAGTATCGCCCAAATATGGAGGCCAGCTATCTTCTTGGAGAACACCGAGGAAACTTTGTATGTAAACTTTGAAGACGTTTATAACTCTATACAAGTCAGGAATAAACGTAGTATAGTCATGGTTAATGTGAGAACACGTTGCGATAGCATGTGAGCAAGGAAGATGAAAAGTTTGAAATTTCCCACAGTCACAAGTTTGTGTTTGGAGGTTGACGTTGAAATGAGTAAGTGGCCGACAGTTCCTATTACTAACTGTCTCTTGGACCACGAAATAGTGACTTTCACGGTCAAAAGCTAAGACATTATAACTGTAGGATTTTTCTACTTCTTCTGTAATTCCTTTCATGCAGTTATCTGTGAATTCCTTTCCCGATGACAAATTTTTTGTCCAATCCTTTCCTCGCTTACCCCACAATGTTCCCATCCTGTAGTATGTTGATCTTACAAGTGATGTAATAGGTAGGTTTCGGGTTTCCTTAAACACTGAGTTCAAAGATTTAGCAAGGTTGGTTGTCATGTGACCCCATCGCGCTCCTCCGTCGTAAGCTCGCGACCATTTTTCTCTTGGAAGGTTCTCTATCCAATTGAAAGCCTCTGTGTTTGTTTGGCGGATCTCCTCCTGATAATATGCGTATGTAGACTCATTAATTGCATATCCTGCATAAAAGCATTAAAAACATTAATATAAAAGAACTATATATTGAAATGCCATGTTAAAAATTAGAGAGTAATTACCCATGTTAACAACTGTCTTGCGAAGGTTTTTGTCCTTGACGGCTCGCATGAAGTTTTGTGCGGAGTGCCTAATGCAATACACATACACCGACGGTGGGTTCTGCCAGCCATTGTCCGGGTTATTGTAGGCACTCTTAATGGACTCATGTCGATCAGATATCAAACATATGTCTGATTGGGGTGTGACGTGGAGTCTCAAATTTTTCAGAAAGAAACTCCAAGCCC